TCCGAGACGAAGACGAAAAGAACGAGGATGAAAATCGCAACCTTTTCTTCGTTTCTGTTCCTCTGTGCTGATTCTGGAAGTGGTTATAGGCTCGAGTCAAATGCAGGGGCCAGCAGCAGCGCGCCTCTGCCTGTTTTAGACACAGGGGAAGATGGGATGCAGTGGAGTCTTCCAGATGGGCGTACAGCCGAAGCTCCTGGGGAAAACGACAAACCCAGCAACGCACCACTCCCGCAAACATCTTTTGCAGAGGACGGCGGGACCGCTGTGGTTTCCGGCGCAGCCGACTCGGGGGCTGGCACAGCAGATGTGCAGCAAACGCCAAGCAAGCAGCCGAAGCAGATAAGGAAAGGCGCAGCTCATGTTCCTGAAATGCAAGAGCTCGCCAGCGTCGTGAAGATATTCGTTGACACCGTCGCAGCAGACTTCGTTTCGCCGTGGCAGATGATGGCTCCGAAGGAGCACAGCGGGTCAGTGATAAGTGGTGTATTTCCCGAGGTTTATCTTCAGCTTCCGCAGCGTATATACGTATATACAGTGTATTCTGGTATGTTTATCATCAGCTTTAGTAGCACTAAAGATTTCTTCCAAAAACATGTTTTTGCACTGTCTTCGCAGGTCCGGGTTTGTAGTGGAAGGCCAAATGATTATGACGAACGCACACGTTGTAGCCAACCAGACGCGCGTGCTGGTGCGAAGGCATGGGTAAGCTGCGACAAACACAACACTCAGCAGCAAAGCAGAGGAGATAATTCACCAAATTATATCCAACTGCCAGTGACACGGAAACACAGGGTAGCCAGCAGCTGGTTCGCTAGTTCGTAGGATAGAAGCATCGTAGGGCAACGAGAAGCAGCTGTTTCTATATTGCAATGTTTCACTCTCTCGCAGAAATCCAAAGCGTTTCCTTGCAAAGGTTATTGCTGTTTGCCACGAATGCGACTTGGCGTTGGTAACGGTCGATGATGAGGATTTCTGGCGCGGGCTGAAACCATTGCCTTTCGGAGGAGTTCCACACCTGCGGGTAAACTAATAACCTGAAATGAATGCATAAATTCAACTTTAATATGCAGTGCAGTTGAAATGAGGGTCGCGGTTGTCGTTGCTGCTTTTGTTTTGTTTTCGTTTTTGTTTTTGTTTTCTTCTATTTGTCGCTTTTTTGTTGGTGTTGTCGTTAGCGTTGTTGTGAAGCGCACCCAATACTGAACATGAATTACATTGGAAATGCATAGGAAACACGATCAAAGCAAGCGTTGGCTGGTGGTTCATGCGAAAATTCGAAAGAATTTTGAATCGAACAGCAATATAGAAATGAAGTTAACACTGTGCCGGCTCAAAAGGAAACAACAGCAGGGGCGTATGCACGGGAGTGCAACAGAATGTATGTGGGTATGCATGTATGTATTTGTGCGCGTGAACTTTTTTCCGCAGGAAACTGTTGTTGTGCTCGGATATCCCACGGGGGGAGACCAGTTGAGTATTACGGAAGGCGTGGTCAGCCGGGTGGGGGTTTCTACGTATGCACATTCTTACCTTGGGTACGCTCTCGGCTTCGGCTCAATTCAAAGGCCTGTACCGCAGCAGCTGCGACTGAAGCTGCGCCTGATGCTGCAGCAACGCGTTTCTTCAGATGAATTACAGCAACGTATTGGTGCAACTTGTGCTGCCGCTACAGTAGTCGTGGGTGGGACCTGCCTGCACGGTCCTATGGAGCTGAAGTAGTTGTAGATCAGATGTTTATGTGGGTAGTTTGGGTGTTTTGTTTTTGTTTCAGGCTTCTTACAGTGCAGATCGATGCCCCTATAAACCCAGGAAACTCGGGTGGTCCGGCAATATCAGAGGGAAAGGTTGTGGGAGTTGCATTTCAAGGATTCAGCGAAATGCAGAATGTTGGGTACATAGTTCCATTTCCGGTGATTCGGCACTTTTTAAATGATATTGCGCTGCATAAAAGGCACACCGGCATCGTCTCCATGGGGATAAAAGCTCAAACTATGGAAAATGAAGGTAAACAAAACCGCACGGAAACTCAACTCCTATCTACCCTGTGAAACCCATAACAAACAAATGAGGGCTTCTCGGGCTCCCCAGTTGTTCGTAGTTCACAACTGCGGTAGATGTGCCGCATGTCAGTCTGTCGGGAGTTTAGATGTGCTGCAATATACTGAAGTAACAGAAACAAGAAATGTTTAGATGACGGTATGTGTGAATGGTGTCTGTGCAGCTCTGAAACAGTTTAAAGGCATGCACACTTTGCCTCCTGAAGCGCTGCCTGAGAACGTGACGGCCTCTGGCGTGTTGGTTGTGGCTGTAGACAAGTTGCGTTCGCACATGTACATGCAGGGGAAGATAGCGCTTCCTATTTCACGATATGATAAGCTGAAGGAAACAGGGGGGAGTTGCGAGCATGAAACCGCTTCAACTCCACCGTCTTCTGCTGTCAGCTCTGAGAAACGAAAATGCAAACGCAGGAGGGGGCCCAG